AGAAAGATTTGGGTGTGTGTTTTGTAAAGTAAATTCTTGGATAAAAAGGTGATGTTTTTGGAAACATTGACGCCATTTCTATCTACCGATGTCACTTCCTGGTCTTTTGGTCAGGACTTGTCAATCAAGTGGTGGTAGGGGTTATGGGTGTGATCGTTATTTTGAAAATATGCCCAGCATTTCTTAGATTCATGCCCGCATTAAAATATCTGTGCAAATTTCACAGTTCCTTTAATGCATGGCTAACCAGGTGCCTCCGCCGTATACAATAAACTTGAAATTGTTAGCCGTGTCACAGTTCCTCGATACAGCGCCCACACCCATGTATTCATTCAATATAGCTGGGCTTTGTATTTGTCTCGAAGTATGTTAATTGTACACGAATCAATAATGTTAACTCATTAGTTAAGACCGTCATGCGCACTAGTTCGCCGATGAAGCCGTCTCACTGCGCATACTTTCCACGGCCGTTTAATTTATAACGCGGCCTCCAAAACAATTAACTCATATTAAGATCTAACCAGACGCTCTTACGAGTTCCTAGATGCAGAAGCGATGAACCAGTTGTTTGTTGCTGTCGTGCGCCCGAACATAGAGTTTGGAAACGTTGTGTGGTCACCGAGATTTGAAAAGGACAGAAATTTATTAGAGAATATTTAAAGAAGTGCAACAAGGATAATTCCTTGCTTGATGGCAAGTCTTATGACGAAAGATTAAAGATAATGAAGTTTCCAATTAAGCTTCAGTTATAGACGTCTGTGTGGCGACCTCATTGAAGTATACAAGTATACTCATGGTTTACACAAGGTCTCCGAAGAATTACTAGAATTTGAAACAAGAACCAACACTACAGGGGCCACGCGGCTTTAAACTAAAAAAACTGCGCTGCAACTTGTCCAAGCGACAACACTTCTTCTTATATTATGAGTCTGCTTATATCGCAAGTTCACAAGGAATTTAAAAGCAAAGAAAACACCAAGCAAATTCACCATCGAAACGTTTTCAATATCGATATGGTGAATTTGCTTGGAGTTTTCTTTGCTTTTAAATTCCTTGTGAACATTTCTACTCACTTAAAATCACCGACATGTGGAACAGCCTCCCTGACTACATCGTTGGCGCTCCAAGTATGAACGCGTTCAAGAACAGACTAGATAAAGCTATGGAAAAATGTATGTTCAAACTTAAAATGCCTAGCACCAATCGAACCCGGTGGAAGTCTAGTAGCTATTTCAAACTTTCGTCAGTCTTGAATAGATCCGGTCAAATGGCACGATTTTAGATCTTCTGTGAACAAGGCACGAAAAGTTCAAGATTCGGCGACAGGCCACATCAGGCCTACTCTTCTGCGCCGACATCGCTATGTAATGTTATGTTAAGAGTATAAACAAACGCGTGTCGGTGTGCTGTAGAAGCCCCTCTCCCTCCACTTCCACTATGTTATGTTAATTTTGTATATATCGCTACGGTGATCGTGAGTCATGCTACGGTGATCGTGATTCATGCTACGGTGATCGTGAGTCATGATACGGTGATCGTGAGTCATGCTACGGTGATCGTGAGTCATGCTACGGTGATTGTGAGTCTGTCTCTTATACACATCTAGATGTGTATAAGAGACAGGAACATCCGTTAGAGTCCCGGGAGCAGCCTCTTGCGTCCTACGCTCTGCGTGCACACAGACAACTCAGCGGCCCTGTGAAGGGAAAGATGGAGATTCAAGCAGTTTAACGAACCAACGTTGAACAACATTGCGGCCGTGTTATGAAAATCTGTTATATATTAAAAAACATCTGTTATAAATTCTTTCATGGTATGAAAGCTTGCGAAGGATCCCCATTAAGTAGTGTTAATATAAGCAAGCAACGCAATTTAATCAGCAACTCTGAGAGCGTGCTTAGATTCTCTACTATAACCCTTTGCGTCGAAACGCATATGGGTTCAAAAATATTTGAAAATCAAATGAATATAATTAGTGCTGAATAGTAATTTAAATTTTGGAGTCCGTACCGCACTCACTGAAAACGTCGAAATATATCACTGTACGAGATCATAATTGCAGCAGTAACTGAATTATTTTTAAGACTTCTGCGTTTCCCAGCGAGTTGATTTTCACAATTTTACTTAGTGGAAAGACATACTTCTTGTTTCATAATGTGATAGAAACTCAACATATTAGAATACAATATCCAGTATCTCGAGGGATTCAAAGATAATTTTAATTTGACCATATGAAAAAGACCTCTTGCCAAAGGTCTATCAGTAACTGACCCATAACTACAGAACACCACGGTCTGATGAAGCGTCGTCGCAAGCAATTGCATCCCTGACTGAACTATTCTCATTCTCGCCCACTTAAACATCGTAAAACTGGGTCACGTATTACGACTATATGAACAAAATAATAAATTTATTCACTGATACATGAAAACAGCAGGTAATTTTTTATCGTATGTACCAACTACCCACTGGGAAATAATTAAAAACTATTGACATTAAAATAAGTGTAAATAACTTTAAAAATCATTTCGCCATCAACTAGTAGTTGCCTACTAATCATATTTTCACAGCTTGCAATAGCTTCTTTTATATCTCACAAACCATAATTGCCATCAGCTGATAACCCCATTTTCAATGCTCAGCAGGTGAGTTTTCAGCTATTTGTTATTCTTCTAGTTATTTTTTTACAGCTTTAAAAAGTTTTTTGCAGCGGTTGACAAAGTTGCTGCTTGGCAAATGTGTTTTTACTTCCATTTTCAAATGAGTTTCCTCTTTAGACGAGTATGATGGATCCGTAACTTCCTTGAATCAATACTAATTCCTAATTTCTTCTCACTGCATCGAAGGGCTCGAAGACTTAAAGTCGACTACTGCTTATCACTGATGACGCGCCCGCTCTATGGGCATCATTTCGATGAAGGCTCCTTAGAGGTTCGTCTCATCGTCACGTCACAGTCCTGCTACGGTCTTATCTGGCCAGTTTCACCCCTTTATTTTTATTTGCATTTTCTCATTTTTTCAGTGAATCATAACAAAAAGAACCTATTTTTAACCACAATTTTCAAAAATTACCTGTGTCCTGTGAGATGATCATTTTCAACTGCAAATAGTCTATGCTGCAATTTTAATAGGTAGTTTAGGCTATTACCTGGCACTCCGCACTTAACCCCAGATTCCATCAGCTAAATGCGGGCTGGAACGGAATACCTCAGGCGTTAAATTCAATAAAATAACCTGGTGTCCTATCCCCAACCTATCGTTAACACCTATCATGTCGTTAACCTGACAAGTCTCATACGACAGCGAAAAGGGCACACCGCATCCTCGCGATAACCCGCGCGAACCGCGGCTCGAAGTACAGAGGCCGAAAATCATGAACAATCGAACAAATCATATAACCCGAAAAAAATTAAAAACGTGGGAAAACACTGTTGCCGGAGACATCAGGTAAAAATTAACGGCAATGGAATAACAATCAAATCAGTTTTTCTTCAATTAACATGAAAACCCATACTCATAAAATCTCTCATCGATAGTTGAATACTCTCGAAATAGAAAGCCTACCTACGGAAACCATGTAAACGAACTTCAAAACTGAATTCAACGGTACCCTATTATGTAAAAATTAACCTAGAAGTGAGACATCGTACCTTTTAACGTACTGAACTTGAGTCTCGTACTGAACTTGAGTCTGAACTTAAGTCACGATACGACGAATCCGCTCGCATTGATTTAAAATCATTATATGTAATAATATTTTTTATTTCATTCCCTGTCAATTTTTAGAGAGCAGTTGGATTTACCATTTTGATTTTGGCTTTTTTTAAGGGATAAAAATTTCTTCCTGTTATATTTGTGCTTCTGTAATTGTCACGCAAAACGAATTTACTTTCGTCCATTGAATTTTTGTGAAATAAAACTTCATGCTCATAATAAAAAATTTAATAACAAGGAAATTGTTATTACATAAGGAATTCGACCAAATTAACCTCGTGATGCCGGTGATGATGAAATAAGTCTGGTTTGTTGCCGATTAGTGAAATATTCGCTACTTATTCCCATGAGGCCAAAAAACGTTTTTAAATTACCGAAGAATCATTATTAACGAAGCTTCATCGTTTGAGTGGAATATCCTCGTTCTTTCGGTGCTTTTCCGTGACAAAAAGATACAGCTTTACGGGGTTTCTTGAGTAATGAGCTTTGTGACATTACTTTATGTTGCCGATACTGAGCCATTGCTGGAGCAAGGTCTACAAACTGGATCGCGGGAGTTGATTAAACATTCATCATTACTATGCCTTTCAACAAGTACACCGCACCTATTTAATAAATACCATATCCGTAGATATACGCGAAAATATTAATCCGCAAAAATCATTTCTTTATACATTTCTATTTATTCATCAATTGATAGGAGAGAGTTATCTTAAATATATTAACATTGAGTACTTGAGTCAAGATTTGAAATTTGGATCATATTTTCAGCATAAACTGAACTATTCTCACATGTTGGGAGGGCACCAGAAACAGACAAAAACAAATTACATGGCACACGCTCCAATTATCTATCTCAGATAACTGTAAATTGTAGGAATCTTTTATTTTATCTAATGTAATTTATTGACAAGTAAATTATATTTATATCGTGCAACTCTATTGCCATCTTCGCAACCCATTTCTTGGTATGGCATTTTCTGAATAATAATTATTAAAAATATCTGTGAAATAATATTCTCCTGCTCATACACACTTTTCTCAATATTATTCGTTAAATAATTGCAGAGCTTATTTGTCATGAAATTCAACTGTGTTATAATTTCGTGACTGCGGATGGTAAGAATAGTTTGGTTTGCGATACAATTATTCATGATTCTATGTAAGTGAACTAAATTGTTAGTAGTTATGGATGATAAGCATATTCCGCCCTATATTATTTAGCCGTCTTGCAATAATAAAATTACGAAAGTATCTGCTTATATGCTGGTAATATATTNAATCGGAGCAGCCGTTGCCGAGTTATGATGGAAAAAGTAAAAAAGTACCCCCCGTAACACGATTTCCTGGTATCTAAGTATTAGTTGGCCTGATACCAGTATCAATACGCGAAAGACGCGGGGTAAAACCCGGGGTGGCACCCCAATTTTACTTACCAACAGCAATGAAAATTTCTCTCATAGTCCCCAGAAAGTGCTTTTGATTAACCGTGCATCAAGTTTCATCTGCAAGCTTGATGCACGCTGCTTTTAAAAAATAAATAAACACTAACATTTTCGTATTCAAGGCGGATGATCTCCTTGACGCGGTCGACGACCTGGACGTAGCCTTCCTCGTCCACGAGGGCCACGTCGCCTGAGTTGTACCAGCCTTCCTCGTCGATAACTTTATTAGTCTCCGCCAGGTTATTGCGGTAACCCTGCATTTTCTGTGACGAATAATCGGTCTTACTAGCAATTTATTGCTATACGCATTAATTATTTATCCCAATATTTACAGTTCAGAGTATAAGAAATAAAGCAGTGAGTTGTGTGTTCGATCCCAGCTTTCTGCGACAGCTCTGGTCAATCCTGAACATTGCCGGGTGGTTAAGCAACGCAAAATTGAAGCAGTGATGAGGCTCAAGTTCGAGACCCTCAACATGCTGAGAGAATATTCTGCGATGTTCCGAATCGGTGCTTGTTCTAGCGGCCTAAGCAATGTTGACAACGTTACATACTACAAACTTATTAGATGCAAGAAATATTGCATAGGCCGAGTTTCGCGGAAATGGTAGAAGAAATTGCGAGTTGTCTTCGGTGATGGTCACAGAAATGACAACGTCTGTTTTTTTTGCCAAGCATGATTTTTTTTGTCCTCTTAATTTCATACGTTTATGTCATTGCACTTGCAATATATGTATTTCTCACTTATTATTCAATAATTTATTAGTGCGTAAATTGGTTCAAATGCGTAATAAACAGCTTAAAACGTTTGGATTAACGCCACTAACGCATGCATTATCAGAAAATATTCATAGACATTATATTGATCGAGATTAGAAAAATCAAAAAATAAACAAATTGCAAATTAACAAAACAACTCGCACGAATGAAGGTAAAATTTCTAAGAGTTAATACAAATTGAAGAAATAGGCACTATATATGACGTATCGAATGTAGTTCAAAGTTCTCAGAGTTAATTTAAATTGACAGAATATTAATCCCATTTGGCATTCCTAATAAATTTCAAAGTAGTAACAGTTAGTATAAACTATAAATAGAAGAAAAAAGCACTATGTTTGCTGGAGATGTTAATTTGTTTATTTCAAAGTAATAAGAGTAAGTATAAATAGAAGACCATATTTGGCGTATCGAACGTAGTTCAAGGTTATGACAGTTAATGTGAATTGACGAAATATTCATCATATTTAACATTCCGAATGAATTTCAAAGTAGTAAGAGTTAGTATAAATATGAATAGGCACCATATTTGCTGTAGATGTTAATTTGTTTATTTCAAAGTAGTAAGAGTAAGTAAATAGAAGACCATATTTGGCGTATCGAACGTAGTTCAAGGTTATGAGAGTTAATTTAAATTGACGGAATATTCATCCCATTTCACATTCCTAATAAATTTCAAAGTTCTAAGAGTTAGTATAAACTATAAATAGAAGAAATAGTCACCATATTTGCTGTAGATGTTAATTAGTCTATTTCAAAGTAGTAAGAGTTAGTATAAATAAAAGAAATAGTCACCATATTTGCTGTAGATGTTAATTAGTCTATTTCAAAGTAGTAAGAGTTAGTACAAATAGAAGAAATAGTCACCATATTTGCTGTAGATGTTAATTAGTCTATTTCAAAGTAGTAAGAGTTAGTATAAATAAAAGAAATAGTCACCATATTTGCTGTAGATGTTAATTAGTCTATTTCAAAGTAGTAAGAGTTAGTACAAATAGAAGAAATAGTCACCATATTTGCTGTAGATGTTTAGATGTTAATTTGTTTATTTCAAATTAGTAAGAGTTAGTATAAATAGAAGAAATATGCACCATATTTGCTGTAGATGTTAATTTGTTCAAGGATGGCTTGTTTACTCCAGCCACATGGAGGCAGCGCCGTCATGAAGACGCTGTTGTCGATGCTCTCGTTCATCTCTGCCAGCATGTCTCGCTCTAGCTGTTAATAGTGACATTATTAGGCTTAATTGTGAGGTGTCAACAGTGACATTATTAGGCTTAATTGTGAGGTGTCAACAGTGACATTATTAGGCTTAATTGTGAGGTGTCAACAGTGACATTATTAGGCTTAATTAGTGGTGTCAATAGTGACATTATTAGGCTTAATTGTGAGGTGTCAATAGTGACATTATTAGGCTTAATTAGTGGTGTCAATAGTGACATTATTAGGCTTAATTGTGAGGTGTTAATAGTGACATTATTAGGTATAATTGTTATGGTGGAGGTGTAATGGTGAGATGGAAGCATGTAATTGGTAAGATGATGGTATAATGGTGAGATGGAAGCATAATTGTTATGGTGAAGGTATAAAGAATTAAATGATATAATGGGTAAAATGGAGGTATAATAATGAGATGGATATTGCTGGCAGTAGGTATAATGCCGGCAAGAAACGCACATTTTGATCGGCCGTTACCTTCATAACAAATTGTTTGTTTAGAGTGACCGAGTGACGACTTAGTCACTCTGAATCCGTCAACACGCACCATCTTAGTGGCAAAATATTCTGCGGCTTCCAGACCAATTATTAACTTGTTACCCAATTTTGTATCTGATATGATTATATGAATATCATCTCTATTATCAAAATATAGCTCATTGATTGAGAAATTACAACTCCAACTATAGATCATTAAATGCAATTATTTAATTTGAATTAAATGCAGATTTTTCGATTGTCTGATACTCTCAGTTTTTCTTCGACTATTGTTGTAAGATTCCTTGAAGTTGTTCGAAAATTGGTGTATGCAGATTTACGGTACGACCTCCTTAATTTAAGATTTAAATTAAGGATGTCGTACGACATTTTTAAGTAAGATTTAAATACGACATCCTTCCAACTCAAAAATATCCTAGCTCATGGTCGACACAGTTGCTGTTAAGTGAACTAATCATCCATGAATTACAAATATTTCTAAGCAAACTATATCAAATGTTAAACACACACATACGCACAAACAAATACACACATTGTTCACAGCTGGCAAGAATAAATAATTTATGTGTAAGTTTTATTTCTCAAGGGTTTTCATACTATTTCTTTACCTTTCCTATTTCTTCGTCGATTTTCCTCTTGACCTGAGGAATTTTTCTAATTAGCGAGAAGAGAGCCAACTTCGAGCGTACGAAAAGACCTGCAAAAAATGCAAATAAAAGATAGATACAAAAAATATAACTCAGTACTCATAGCAGTGAGTGACAGAGAGCGTCGACGAAAACTTGAGGTCACGGACAGACGGACGGACAGACAGACAAACAGACAGACGGACATGGCGAGCACAATAGTGCATTTTTTCCATAAATGAGAAAATGCGCTAAAAAGATCCCGAAACTTACATAACATTGGCCCAAATGTTCCGACAGACGTTTTCTAAATAATAATTAGGATTAATGATTAATAATGAATTCAATATAAAATTATCACTGGAATCTTAAGTAGATTAGAAACGTAGGAGTTCCTCTCGATCGAGATACTTTCTTGTAAAAATAATACGCCCACGTATTTAAACGTTAATATTGATGGAATTTTACAGGCAAGAACGACAGAGCTAACAATTGGTGAAATCGACTAGCACCAGAGCGGTTAATACAACAAAAAATTATTTTATATATGAAATTTATTACTAAGTACGACATAATTTCCTCTTAATTAATATTATTTTCTTCATCCTTTGTTTTCTTGAATCGATTATAAAAGTTGAACAGAATTTCGAATTCATACAAGACCTTTGATTGACGATAAACCCTGAGACGCTGGCACGCTTAACCAAAAGTTCTTTTTACATGCTTCAATTTTTGATATTCCTCTTAATGAAGATATTTCGGTGGATTAGAATTGTGACTGAAAATTTAAAAATTTTTGTTCAAAAATCTTTCCGTTCTCGTTTCAAGTCGTAGAGCATATCCCTCCAGAAAATCTCATTAAGGTAATATAGCAAAATAAAAAATAGCATTGCACACAAAATTGGGGGTTAATCACCCAGTCCAAGCAATAATTTACTAACTTTTCGTTAGTAAATCAGGGATAACATCTTGTCAGCATTTTTGACGAAGAGGTAAAAGGGGTTTTAATGCCTTGTTAAATTGGCTAATGTTTGCTCATTATTGATGTTATGGGCAACGAAATATGTTTTTTGTGATGATTGTCATCCTGCCATAGGAAGTTCATTTTTTAATTTGTAACCAAAAAAAGAACATACAAATATCGCTCTTTCAAACAGACAGTGGTTAACAAACATACATATTTCACACAGAAAGTGGTTAACATACATATTTCACGCAGAATGTGGCTAACAAACATACATATTTCACGCAGAAAGTGGTTAACAAACATATTTCACACAAAATGACTAACAAACATACATATTTCACACAGAAAGTGGCTAACAAACATACATATTTTACACAGAAAGTGGTCTCTGACGTACAAAAATTAAACACAAAATTGAAGGCAGATTAAGTAAAATTTAAAATGATTTCATTTCCACTCACTTTCATCTTGCCATAAAAAATTCTTGACGGCAACGAGGCAGAAAGTTCCCCCGGCGGTCACTAGAACAACTTTCCACGCGGGTTGCCCTTCACACGCAGTGTTGATGCGGTCCTTGACGACTGCACAGAGTGATGATGCCGCTGAAAACTGTGGAAATCAACAAATTATCAACTGTTATTTATAAACGTGTCGTTGAAACGGTCCCTATAAACGTGTCGTTCATAAGGTCCCTAGCTACGGCACCGAGTGATGATGCTGCTGAAAACTGTGAGAATCAACAAATTATCAACTAGTATTTATAAACGTGTCGTTGATAAGGTCCCTAGCGACAGCAATAAGTGATGATGCCGCTGAAAACTGTGGGAATCAACAAATTATCAACTATTATTGATAAACGTGTTGTTGATAAGGTCCCTAGCGACGGCAACAAGTGACGATGCCGCTGAATGAGCGAATATCATCGAATTAATAACAATGAATAATCAACGTTGATACGATTGGAAACTGAAGAGCGCTTATAAATGAACACTTATAGCAATTAAACAAAAACTTGGGCAACTGAGACCGACAATCCAAAAAAATAACAAATTAAAGAAACAAACGAGATTTCTATCGATTTATAATTGGGTTAAAACCTGGGGTATTTTTATTTTATGACAACTAATCACAGACTTGATCGTGAAATTATTGAAACTTCGATCTCATAACAACAGCCTGACTAAAATTGCAAAAAATGATAACGTACGCAGAAAAAAACATTAAACTCACCATGTTCATTAACGGAAGCGTACAGCGACTGTCGTGAAGCTCCATACAAACTATACAGAATGTGACGCTACAATAAACTATTCTTGCCATACCCATCAGTGGCATTGGTCAACCCTGATAGCTTATCACCAAGGGTATTTTTAGAGGAGATACCACATAAAATAACGGCACAGATACGACGCATAACACCTGAGCATAGGACGAGTTATCTCAGCCGCTGATATTCATTTCTGACATCAAGATTTTGAATGGAGCAACAATGGTAAAAAAATCTATGTCATTCGTGGCATGCAAAATGTTGAACATTGAAGAAGCTGATTCAATTCTGTAATCAAACAGAAATCACACATTGTCTTGTATTTAATATGTAAACAAATACTTTATTTGAAATGTAAAAAAAAAGAATTTATATAATAGACTGAATAACAAATGTAAAAGATTCGAACATGAGAAAGATGCCGAGAACGCTAGCAGTTTTGCACTAAATTTTTGAAAACTACAGACCAAAAATATCTTATCAAGATGGATCTTTTTGTACCAAACAAATATTGAGTGCAGTTACCGAGCTCCATCTCGGGGCGAGTGAACCTAAACCAAAATAAGCGTGCAGATAAGACGATAAAAGATAAACTCAGATACAGAGAATAATTATTTGATAAGAGACGCGGACACGCGATAACGTTCATCATCTTCGGACACACGTACTCGATAACCTTGAGTTCTGACTTGCAATCTATCTGCCATCAATCGAACAATCATTTGCTAATACACATTCATCAAGGCTGTTCCATACATGAATTCAGCGATCGTTCAACAAAATAAATAAAGAAAATTGCTTCTTTTTCCAATTGATACAAAATAAAATTATTCAACAATTTCGAACGTAAGAAGGACAAATTTGTTAAAAGACCACATTTAACATCATATTGAAGCGTAGAACGAGGTTCAAAAGCAAGTTTCACAAAAAAGTATATTTATTGCATGTCTATAAAATGGAATATAATGCGATTCTTAAAGAACTAAGAACATCACAGGCATGAAGTGTACCTCATAAACAAATTTATTATTCATTAACATGATTGATTCGTAGACATTTTTCTAGATAATTTCGATCACAAAATCTCGTCTTACATTCATTATTATCAGCTAAGGCCACAAATGTAATACAATATTAGGGTTACGGTGGTTCATTCATATGAACCTCTCTTATTCAGCCAAGAGTAGGTATATATGAATTATGGATCTATTCAAGCTTTTGGAATGAATAATAATGTAACATAAAACCATACCACAAGCCCCGTCTCTTATTTAATATACAAATGTAAAGAAATAATTTCCGTTTGTATGACTTAAAATATACATACCCACAGAATGTATCTAATACTCACAAGACTGAACTCTTCATTCAATACCGCCTCTTCACACAGAAGCTTTAGCAAAATATGTGTAAAATAAAATCGCTATCACGCAACAGTCAAATATTGTTGGCACAAAACATCGTATTTAATACTTTTAAAATTCAACATATAAAAAACGGCAATCAACAAAACGCAAGCGAAAAAAATAGATGTGTATAAGAGAAGTGTATAAAAATTATAACTCTAAGAAAAAGTAACATATACGGAAATTTAATACCGTACAGTAAGGAATGAATGCTGACCGCAAGTAATACCAGATAACATGTTTTTCTGGTGTGGCTTGCTGAATAATTTAATTAAGTTTAAAGAAAAAATTGTCATGGTGCTACACCGCACGAAAAAATTAAGTCGGGCAGACCCAGGCATTGCTGAATTGCTCATATTGTCATTGATAAGAAAATTTTATAATCAGATTCAATGCTCAAACACCATAAAAAAAGGTCGCTTGCAATCCGCACTAGCGGCTTTTTCGGAGAAAATGAAAGATTATAATAAAGAATGTTATTTTATCAGTATAAAAATACGTGAATAACACGTCAAAAAAAAATAAAAAATTAATAAGAGTGAAATAAATCCTACCAACAAAGCGTCATGTCTACAGCAAACACACAAGGTTGGGTGGCACAAGCGTTCCAGTAAGACGCTCAGGTATCATCTTTCTTACACAATAAACGAGCTATAGTTTAACAGTTATTACTGTCATGATAATAAATGATGCATCACTCGATACATCAATTGCTGCAGTCAGTCTCATCATAATATTTTTCAAGTTATTCATTCTATTTTAATATCTCACTCAAATCTCATCATTTTCACTTTATTTTAGGAGCAGCGGCATCATTTCACTGGCAGCCTGAATATATAATATTATATTTGCTGAGAGTAAACGCTGCAGATAAAATCCCTTTGTTATCCTCTTTTCGAGAACAACAAGAATCGTGCAACAGACAACTTTTTCTCAACATAAATTTTTCATATTTCAAAACCAATTTCTAATCTACGCTCTAGGGGAAGGCACTCTCTCTTGATGAAATTTCCAAGAAACTTTTTATTGTTTCCATTTAGGACCCGCAACAATTTACTTTCATAAATTTGATGTAAATAAAATTCAAATTCACTTATGACCTGTGCTTTAGAAATTAAAAATAAATTCATTTTTGTTTACAAAGCTAAAAAATAAATGTGTAAAAGAACAGTACATTTCGCCACGAGCAACGTAAAAAACATTAAAAAAGCCGATAAAAATTGTTTAACACATGTACTGTGTTGGTTTTAGAATATTGCGGCATTTTCAAGATTTCTGCGTGAATCCTGTTAATAAAATGGTTCGAGTCATAATTAGAATTAATTTTAAAGAAATGAAAACCTATTTCTCCCAGACTTCTATGCTAAACAATAACAAATCAATATCAATCGACAGAACATTTATAATTGCCAGACTTGTCTTTCATCAACTCAGGAGCCAACTCATTTCAACTCATCATTCAAATTAATTTCAGCCGTGCAAATTTCGCCTTTGGCTACTATAATTCAAGAGAAAATTTACGAATTTCCCAGCTAGACGCGCGGGCTGGTCAACAATAACAGACGAACAATCAATAAAATATTCATGATTGCCAGACTTGTCTTTCAACTATGAGCCGATATTCTAACTCAATTTAACCCATGCGAATTGCGCCTTTGGCTACTATAACTCAAGAGAATATTCATGAATTTCCCTGCTCTACACGCGGGCTGGTATCGTAGGCTGTTCTACACGCGGGCTGGTATCGTAGATGACGTCGAGGTAGGTACTATATTTCCCTGCTCTACACGCGGACTGGTATCGTAGGTTGCTCTACACGCGGACTGGTATCGTAGGTGACGTCGAGGTAGGTACGCGTGATCTCCTCAACGATGCTGCGGTCCGGGATGCTCTGTGCCATGCCGTACAGGGCAGCGCTGCCCTCCCCATCACAAGGAGGAAGAGCCTGTAGTTCTGCCGCCACCTCCTTCAGGTCATTCACGAAGCGCTCGGCCACGCCCTTTTGTGTGTGTGGCATCGTCACGGCGATGTGGATGCTGGGGGAAGACAGGATCATGGTCATATGAAACATGATACATTATTAGGGCAAGAATTTTAAAGCAAAGACAAATTGCCTTAAGGCATGAATTTATTAAGATTTGACTTTGCTTTTTAAGACAAATTTATTAAGATTCGTCTTTTTTAAGATCTTTATTATTAGGGGATGAATTGAAAAGCAAAGACAAATTGTCTTAGACAATACCACAAAAATCAATAACTTCTATATAAGAGAAAACGTTTTTGGAGTCAAGCTCCATCGTCAGTTCATAAGTCTTAGAAACACAAATACAAATACATGATTAAGACATAATAAAGAGATACGTAAACAAGTGCATGGTCATGCATCTGGAGAGATGATTTGAGGTATGATAGACATGATAGTATATAATGGTATGAATGGTATGAAGTGTCAGCTACCAGGAGGGGTACTGTATAGCATTAAGGTTCCACATATACAATATAATATCAAGTGTCAGCTACCAGGAGGGGTACTGTAGAGCACTAAGGTTCCACATATACAATATAATATCAAGTGTCAGCTACCAGGAGGGGTACTGTAGAGCACTAAGGTTCCACATATACAATATAATATCAAGTGTCAGCTACCAGGAGGGGTACTGTAGAGCATTAAGGTTCCACATATACAATATAATATCAAGTGTCAGCTACCAGGAGGGGTACTGTAGAGCATTAAGGTTCCAGCCTTTAAGACCCATCTTGTCGCTCAGCGTGTAAATGTTGAAGCGTTTAGACGACAGCGCCACGACTGACACGTCAGGCTTGCCGACCACCTCAATGCCGGCAATGTCCCGACATCTGTAAGATAATAGCAATGAAACTTGATGCATTATATTACCTATGCAAAAATAAATCAACATTAAGATTGTGTAATCAATAATATCAGCATCATTAATCAGTCAGCAGCATCATTAATCAATCTGATTGATAAAAATTTTCTATTTCCAAACTGTGATAGAGTTCTCTACAGATTGACAATTTATTTACACACATATACAAAATACGAATAAGTCAACACTTCACATACTAATTCAGTAACACGCTGAAAGAAATTGTTGCTTTCAGTCATTCAATTTACATCGGAGCATTTCAATCGGTGCCATCCTTTGTTTATATAAGCTTTGATTCTTTAAAGAAAGTAAAAATTACTATTTATACTAGTCAAGTAGTCATCATGAACAGTACCCGTAGTATCATGTTTAATAGTGGAATCCAAAGCAATTGTGATAAAACTAGAGTGACTACAGTCATATTCATGATAACTGCTAATCTATTACTGAAATAAACATTTTTGTAATAGTTTTTAACATGCTGCAATACCCAGTATACCAGATAAAATAAATCGCAACACACTTTGTTTCGATGAACTTTGCGGTGTCGATGATGGCTTTGGTAGACTGTACGTAGCCTTGCCTGCCGTGGTGGACCAACGCTGCCCAGCAGGCTGCTATGATTCCTGTCATGTACAATAGTGATTATTACAATGAACAATAATTATATATTCTCAAATGATGAAGATATCTCAAGACTATTTTTAAATGTTCTGAAATTTTAGGAAATATGAATATCCAGGGGACACGACAAAAATATTTCAAGGATCTTCGAGAAAGAAAACTTGGTTTAATTTCAAGGCCATCACTACTATGCTACACTAATTTCATTTGGATAGCAAGCAATTGCAATAATGCCTAAAATTACAATTACATAATCATTTATTAAGACAATATTAACGCAAGGAATGAATTAAGAATTAGAAGAAAGGTTAGAAGTTAGTGACATCTTACATTGCATTTCTTGCTTTGTATAATTACTGCGTGCTAATTCCTTTTGCTAGCAAGTTCAATAAATTTTCTAAAACTTCTATACCATCGCATTTTGAAATCAACACGTGTCTATCACAATTAATTCGTGTTCTTATACACTCTGATGCAGAATTGTGAAGTAAATAGTATCATTGGTTATAGATGTCTCCATGAATATATGAAGATAAATTTATGCATAATAATCGATGACTTCCATCAAAGATTTTACGCAATAATCAACAGACCGCCAGCCCTGGAGCCGGCGATGGTGGGGGTGGCGTAGATGCCGCCTGGCCAGTCAGGCTGTGCGAAGAACTGATGGTGGCGGTACTGCCTGTGGCGGTAGAGCACCACACTCGAGCCCTTGGGGGCGAACCCGTACTGCAATATAAAGCATTGACATTACACGTCTGCCTCTTGACATTACACGTCTGCCTCTTGGAGACCTGAACCAGCTTCATTATGTGCAGCCTAAACACCTGCACCAGCATCGTCATGCGGTGCCCCGACGCTCCAAGACTGGCGATAGCAAAGGCTTTCATCAATGAGTCTCCTGCTATCAGGTTTTGCTTGAGATCTTCCACCCAACTTTATGGGCAAAAATCAAAGTAATTCCACCCAAAATACACAAGGCACTTGCCCCCACCTTGTGGGTGTCACACGAGATGCTGCAGACGCCGGGGAGGCGGAAGTCAAAGAGGGGAAGAGGGTAGCCCGCCTCCTCCATGAAGGGGATGAGGAAGCCCCCGAGGCAGGCGTCCACGTGTACGGGGATGCCCCAGGCCTCCCCAAGAGCGCTGATCTCAGCGATGGGGTCAATGACCCCGTGGGGGAACTGGGGCGCTGACCCCACCAACTGAAATGCATAAAAAACACATCAAATACAACGAAGTTGCAGTAAATCAAGAAATTCGAGTAAAAATGTTGATAATTTTCAGATTTGGAAGGGTTACATCAAAACAGGAAAAACTCATCATTGAACAGAGAATAAATGATAATTTTTAAATAAAAGAACTGCAAAATTTTCAATTCAAAACTAACCTTCAAAAGTCTTATAAAATGTTTGATTTTTACATGTGAAAATTTGAATACATTTCCAGCCCCAATCACGTCAACAATTTAAGCGCTGAAAGAGTAGTAGAAGTAAGTGAATTTTCAAAGCCGACACACGCTATATGGCAATTTATACAGGGTAGACTGGAGTGCATATTTATTTTCTCATTTTAAATGTGTGCAAATAGTTGATAATCACCATGCATGTGTTGCGCGTAATCATGCGCTTCATGGCCTTGATGTCCACGCGCATGGTGACGGGGTCAATGGGCACGTGCTTGATGCGAATACCCAGCAGCTGAGCTCCTGGAAACATATAATTATTAATAAAAAAATTACCATAAAGATTACCATACACAAAATCTAACATTTAACAATTTCAGGTGATATTTCATACCCACGCTTCAATTTGTTTACATATAATAACTGGTAAAGCTGTAATAAGTTTAGAAGCATTCAATAAAGAAAGCAAGCTTAGTATTGCTTATATTCGTGAAATATGAGCTTCAAATGTCCTCCACCATATTTAGCTGCTCATATAATCTAGCAAATTATGTAGCTGATCAAACCATAAGTAATATAGAATATATTCTTACGCACACGCGATGTCACCTCATAAACCTCGGATATCTTTACCTTCTCAATATTTTATATCTCAGATATCTTTACACTTATTGATATCTTATATCTCAGTTATCTTTACTCTTATTGATATCTTATATCCCAGTTATCTTTATCCTTATTGATATCTTATATCTCAGATATCTTTACCCTTATCAATATCTTATATCTCAGATATCTTTACCCTAATCAATATCTTATATCTCAGATATCTTTACCCTTATCAATAACTTATATCTAAAAAATCTTTACCATTATCGATATTTTATATCCCAGAAATCTCTACCCTTATCAATATCTTATATCTCAGAAATTTTTACCCTTAATGATATCTTATATCTCAGATATCTTTAACCTTTTCAATATCTTATATCTCAGAAATTTTTACCCTTAATGATATCTTATATCTCAGATATCTTTAACCTTATCGATATCTTATATCTCAGAAATCTTTACTCATATAAATTTCTTATATCTCAGTTATCTTCACCCTTATCAAAGGCGGCGTGCGCGGTGACGGGGGCGAGAATCTCAGGCTTTGCGATGCCGCGGTGGACGGCGCGATCTCTGTACGCCTTGCACGCCATCACGATGCTCTCTGTACCGCCTGTCGTCATCTGCACGATTATCAACATTAAACCTTGCACGCCATCACGATGCTCTCTGTACCGCCTGTCGTCATCTGCACGATTATCAACATTAAACCTTGCACGCCATCACGATGCTCTCTGTACCGCCTGTCGTCATCTGTACGATTCATTTGATTTATTAAAGTCCGTTTTGTAGGCTTTGCTTCCACATTATGTTGATCAAATATTACCAATAATTTTTTTTATATTATAATATTTTGCCTGCCTGATGGTTGAATTAAAGAAGGACTAGAGTGACTCCATGCACGGGAATGACGGATGCCACATCAATGAAGCCCAATGATTATGGCAGATTGAAAAATAATTCCCCAACATATTGGTGGAACCACAACTTGAAATATTCCGAAATAAATATTATACTGTACTCTATATTCTGAAATAAATACTTTCACAATGACAGATTTCTCTGTACAGTGGTTTCCCTGGGAAGTTTACAGGAGACTATTCAGTAGTTGGCCTGTTTAAGCAGTTGAATAAGTATTGCTGTTTTAGCGAATAGGGTTGATGTATACAAATCAAAAGAACAAAATGTGCTGATATGTTGCAAGACCCAGGGCCGTTGTGGAAGAGCTATTATTACATAAGAAGCTCTTCAAGATTAGGCTGATATACCTGCAACATCAAAGCACAAATGTACTAACTGTGCCGCAGGACTGCGGACCGTCATAGAAGAGCTATTATTAAATATTAGGTTGATATACTTGCAACATTAAAGCACAAACACAAGCACAAATGTACTAACTGTGCCGCAGGACTGCGGACCGCCATGGAAGAGGTCGCAGCACATCCGCACAACCTCCGCCTCCATCTTGCGGATGCCGGGGAACACATCCGCGTGCAGGGGGTTGGTCCAAGCGCTGAGTCCGTACACCTGACATGGAGATTAGGATATTATTATATTAATTATTATATTGATAACTATTAATATGATTAATATATAACAATGCCGGGGAACACGTCCGCGTGCAGGGGGTTGGTCCAAGCGCTGAGTCCGTACACCTGACATGGAGATTAGGATATTATTATATTAATTATTATATTGATAACTATTAATATGATTAATATATAACAATGCCGGGGAACACGTCCGCATGCAGGGGGTTGGTCCAGGCGCTGAGTCCGTACACCTGACATGGTGATTGGGTTATTATTATTATTGATGTTAGTAAACCACACTGTTATGCATGAACTACTTTCTCATTGGCAATTGCGTAAATAAACAAGCAAAACATCCACCTGATTCAAAAAACAAGTTTCTCATTAATAATAATGTTCTAGTACAACAAAGCCCCAACATAAACCATGTCTAAATAAGCTCTATTCCTGCCTACATAACACTTGGGAAAATAAGTGGATGTAAATAGTGAAATATTTTCTGCATGTATCGCTGATGTGATTTTGCTTGGCACTAATGTGACAGGATGGCCTACAAATGGGCACAAAGTCTCAATTTTCTCAGTGTAGAAAATAAAACTTAACATATATAATATAAAATAAAACCTAACAAATATAATATAAAATATAACCTAGGGCTATAATTTAAGAGCAAAACGCACCTCAGTCATGAGCTGCGTGAGTTCAGGATTGCCGTTATAAACACCGCCTGAAATGTAGCCGGCAGCCCAGTTGTATTTACCTGGAAACAAATTCACATATTAGTTACGTATGTTGTGCAAATTATGAATTAGAATTATACAAATTCACATAGGTATTAGTTACGTATGTTGTGCAAATTATGAATTTGAATTATACAAATTAACATGTTAGTTATGTTGTGCAAATTATAAATTTGAATTATACAAATTCAGATAGATAGAAACGTCATGCAAAATAGGCATGGTTGTGCAAAATATGAAAAAATGATAAAAAGCTATAACATATAATTGTTCTTGACATTACAATGTGCATGTGGATCTTTTGTAAGAGTTCATGTGTAGAGAAAAATGGAAACATGAATGGTATACAAAAATAATTCAATATGGAAGCACATATGTCCAATAACAATAATTAGTTTTGCTTTAAACTGCATTATAAATACTATGTCATTTCCAAGTGAAAATAATATACATATTCAGTTCAAATGCATACTGTAAAAATCTCACCATATTTGCCATAATTTTGGACCTCCTTCAAGATAGTTTTCTTATCCCATCCTTGTTTGGGCAACTCCTGCATATATGCATTGTTGTCGATGCTGTCATTCATTTCTGCTGATAGCACTTTTTCCATCTGTAATAGTTTTAAAATAATGATGACATTGAAATATGGAATCATTTCACAAGGTTTAAATAATTTCTTAAACATGGAAAGATTCTGAGGATATTAGTTGCAACATACATGGTGCACTTATCTTATTTCCATTTAATTAATTTCATCAATCATTTTGAGATGGTCTCAAAACCTGAATTTTATATGCATACTTTGGATATAAAAATACCCAGATATGAATTGATACTCACAGAGTTGCCTCAAATTTATATGCAACAAAATATTAAGATAAAAAAAAATAAAGATGCAGTTTAGATGGCTACCATAAAATGGTGTGACTTATACCGTTTTTATATTTAAGAAAAGAAAACCTAGACAAAAAAAAAATTCTTGTCCTGGAAAAATTGTTTTAATGGTTCATTAAACACCATGAGATAACTTACCAATGCAAAAAGAGATATATTATATGGTATTTACTATGTAACTTTGTATCACAAAAAGGTAAATGCTATAAATCATCCCAGTAACCATGTTTTATGGAATATGTATGCTGCGTGGTTGTAGGCTTAAAGGATGTAATGACCCAAGGATTACTGTAAGCACTGTTTACAATAGTGCAAGCCTCAAACAAATAAATCAAATTTATACTTAAACATTTTGAAATTATTAGGAAAAGGACACTTATAAATTTAAAGAACTGTGAAATAAAAACAAATTAAAACTATGCTAAATTAGGTAATTTTATTGCAGAATTAAATTATAAATCTATTAAATACCTTATTAATTTTTGCATTACAGTTTCAAAAAAATATTTGCTGTCTTATATATATGGTGGGCCAAAAATTACAATGATGGCTTCATAATTAATTGCAATTACATTTTACAATTAATTAAGAGCTAATAATATATAATGATGACATCCATGATGTTGTGACGGAAGGCTTCTAATAAACAAAATACAGTACACATGAAATTCATAGATATCCGATAAATTCCAAAAACAGATTCCTGGGACTAGTGCCATCTAAACCAGAAAATTTTATGGCAAATTCATAACTAAGAGATTCAAAGTACAAACTTACAGCATGTAATATAAAAATAAGAACGTTGACATGAGAATATTTGTATTTTCCATATTTTTCAGTCTTAGTTTAAATATGAAAAAAACTTGTATTATATCAGAAACAATAGCAAAATACTGTACCTTATTAATTTCTTCTTCAACTTGCCGTTTAACTTGAGGAATTTTACGCACTAGAATAAAAGCTGCCTTTTTGGATCGTACATACAAACCTGCCACAAAAAAAAAAAATATTACTGACAATGAATAATACTGATGACACATAATATGTATGTGTGGGATCGGAAAAAAAATAAGAGAACAATTGATGACAGGTTTTTCTTAAAAAATTTGAAACTTCAAACATTAGTGGTACAAGGAGGAAGAAAAATGTCATCATCATTTTCTTGAAACCAGTAACCATAAGTGAACATGTAAATACCAATCATTCACACAGAAAATGGTTTCAAATTTACAAGAAACCTAATATTGAATTCAAATTAAAGAAAATTAGAGAGAAGTTCATCTGCACTCACTATCATCCTGCCATAAGAAATTCTTGAGAGCAATAAAGGAGATGGTGCTGCCGGCAGTGACCAGCACAACCTTCCATGATGGCTGTCCCTCGCACATGTCATTGATGCGACTCTTGACAGCATCACCAAGTGATGACGCTGCTGAAAACTGAAACAAATTTTTACAGAGAAAACTTAAGAAAAATAGTAGAAAAAATCCAGTATCTTTATAAGTTGATAATGATGAAAAATAAATAATTCAAAATAAAACAGATCAAGAAATTCCCATAAATTGGATAACAAATTGAGAGTGGGAAATATTCACAGGACAACATTTTTATGCGCAAACATATTAAAAATTGGCACACTTTCAAAAGCTGCTAACCATTTTGTGTAGTATTCTTGCAGAGCTAAAGCAGCTGAACTAACAAAGATGGGCAAATCCACTATCACTAAGACTCCAACCAGACTCAGAGATACAATAGATAAGACTGATTAGTATCTCTGCCAGTCAAGGTTAGTTATGCAGGCAATTATCACAGGTATTCTGAAATGTTATTTAATAAAATTTTTAGTCAAATTTGTAAAAACATTAAATGGATTTGCAAGTTTTCATCTTTTCCCTCAAAACATGCCTATACAGTATGATCTTAATAAATTGGGAGACCATTGTGCCATATATATCATTAATAACATCAATTTTTTATAAATAGAATTGAATAAAAACTTTCTAATAACATTCACAAAGTTTTTTATTACAACTATAACAATATATTTCCACCAGAATAATCTTGTTTTTTTATTGAAGAAAAGCAGTTAAGCAAAATCAGTCACTACTTCTGTGAAATTGAGGGAGCTTTATTGAAAAACCAACTAACTGGAATAAATAATCCCTGAGATTTGAGAATCATGCATGTAATCAAATGAACCTCCCTGCCATCATAACAATTTTCCAAATTAAGTAATCTCAAACAAAATAGGTCTACCACAGACTCACATTCAACATTTTTATACCCCTTGTTTGACCAATTTTTGTTGTAAGAATATTTATTATGGAGTAGTTTGTATTCAATTCATAATTTCAATAGATTACAATTTAATCATCCCTCTCTATTTATAAATATGCTTTAGTTAAATTACCCCTCCCAAATTATATTTGAGATTCAGATGATATCGATTATTATAAAATTAGGATAACTAAGGTAAATATTATTGAATGGTGATACATGCTCAAATAGCCCCAGTGTAATAGGTAGGTATACGTATATTGGCAAGGAAGATGCTGTTCTGTGGAATTCAACAATAGCTATCTGTGAATCAGGGTTGGCGATTTTTTTGATTTGTTTAAAAAAAATCAAAAAAATCAAAAATCAATGATTTTTTTTATTTTTTCATGATTTTTTTTATTTTTTTGATTTTTTCAGCTTTTTGTCTTTTTTGAGGTGTTATTTTTTATGTTGCAATTAGCCTACTAACAATAACAGTATATGGATCATAATGGATGGCTAAGAAGGGCACTTATTGCCTTCAATAATGGCCAACAGGCCAAGGTGGTGTTTACCATTTTGGGATTTTTGGTAAACAATTATTGATCAGTCTTTTCATTAGCTTTGTAAAGTTTGTATGGAGCAAGGTTATCAGCTAAATATTGACCATTTAACTGGCTTCAATATACAAAAACACTTCAGGAATGCAGATCTCCTAAACATTGAAGAGTCACATAACAGATAGGTAGATGATTGCACAGTGCACAGCACTATCAATAGATCTACTAGTTTTATGTCCTGTGTGATGCAGCTAACAAACCCCATCTTCCTGATATTGTTTTCAAAACATAAGTATTTTAAATGGTATGTTATGCTAATCATGAGAAAAATAAACTTTCTTCTTTATGTACCTCCATTACTCTTTTATTTCGCCCCAAAACTGTTCAATCAGTTCTGCCCCACCCTGTATAAGCTAGCTAACACATTTAAATTGTATATTGTAATCAATATATAACAAATAGTCAAATAGTTAGACTACTTATAGCCTTATAAGAATTAGCTAAGCTGCTAGCTACGTACAATGTATTGCACACTTGATGCCTCTGTACCAAAAACATTCAATTTATTGGAACCTAATACGCACTAAAGGCAACAAGTTTATATACCAATTTGTCATTCATAGTACATGTATAGTAAACCATGAATAACAATACCTCAATATAAATTAAAGACTGCCACTCAATATTTTTAAATATATGAAAAAATAAAAAAAATTAAAAAAATCGAAAAAATCAAAAAAATCATGATTTTTTTATAAAAAAAATCAAGTGATTTAATCACATGATTTAATCATTTTGATTTAATCATTGCCAACCCTGCTGTGAATGAAACAAAAAATGCATGTTGGCACTTGGCAGTCAATTTCAGCAATCTTTAAGGACCAAGCTAATTTTCTTTCATAAAAAAGGGAAAAAGAGGCAGATTCTTGTATGCAGTTTTTAAAATTGTCTATAAAATGATAGTTTTTAGCCACAATTTAGAAAAATTTTGCCTAATAGTCCATATTGGGATAGAAGTCTGGGGTAGTGAGGGCTGCAGATTAATTCAGGTGCTACTTGTATCTTGATCAATTAAAACATTAGCACTAGATAGTAGTAATATATTGTACATGGTAGCTTTTTTTGGATTAAAATAACCAACCAATACTAAGCAATAGGGTAGGACTAATTTGAGGTAATAAGAATTTTAGCACGAATTTATTCTAGTGCCAAACTTCTAATTCACAAGAAAAATTTATTCATATATCTGATATATTACAGGGCTTTAGGAGCACCTGCCCAAACTAGAAAATTTGGCAGGAGCCACCCAAGAATGGAAAAAATGCCTATGAATGCATGCAATTCTACTTGTTTCTATGGCCCTTGCCTAATTTTTTAGTAAGTATAAAGAAAAACAACTCATTGCTGTCATTGCCATTTAAAATTTTGTAGAATCATCCATGAAATGATCATTTTTGACAACACTTCATGGAGACTGATTTAAAATTTATAGTTTTTTAAATCTACAAACAATAAGCTAATGTGCAAGACTATATAACAGCATAGTTGTAACATGTACATATTACAGTAATTACCATATCAAGTTGCTAAGACTATCACCAGGAAATCCAGGATTGCAATTTTCCTACACAACACAGGAATTTTACAGCCTCAGGTTCAAACTTCAAAGTGACAAATTTTCAATGCCTTTGGAATCTTATGGTCCCATTGTGCTTTTTTTTTCTATGAAAAATTGATTAGATAGGACTACCGTAGCCTAGTCCTATCTAATTAGGACCTCCTAGTCCAACTAGGAGTAACATAGGGTAAACGCGGTATATTCCGACATCGTGGGTAATTCCGTCACCTCTCTAGCTTTTCCTTTATATTAAGCTTTGTTTTAGTTCCATGCGTTAGTTGATGGTTGAAATGATGACGTCATACATTTGCGCGTCAAGCTACTGCCAAAACACTAGGTCTTGGCCATCTAGCAGGAAAATATTGAGATCCAAAGAGAGACAATGCACGCTACCCAGTGAGATCATCGAAAAATGTGTCAAATTTGACAGTTGACCCAGCTGTACCAAATAGTGAATAACTGTTTGTATAGGAAAAATATTATGGTTTGAGACTTTTAAATACGTCTGTGAATATATTAGAAATCCTTTAAGTATACTTGTATTCGCTGATTTCAAGTCGTAAATAAATTAATAGATGATTAAGTTGAGATATTGGATTTAGACACATGAAAACTAATTCCGTCACAACTTGAATTGGACACACACAGATCGTTCCAAGCTTTGTACAAAAATTAAAATTTGCTTAATTAAAAGCTTAATAGTTGTTAATTAAAAGCATAATTAAGTAGTGTTCAATATTCATTAGTGTTCTAATTCAAAGCCGTGTTGTATTCCAATTTCCAATACAGCTCACACAGCGAACGGAATTCAAACACATGGATGACGGCATTATGTATCAGTAGAATTTGAAGCGCGGACGGAATACGCCTCACCACGTGCTGAATATTGCCACACACAGTGACGGAATATAGGGATTTGGTAGGTTTGCATTCTAAAGGCTTTTACATAAATATGGCAACATTTTGCAACATTTCATCGTTGCCGATGCGTAGTACGGTGTTTTGAGCCGCAATTGAGCGTCACCTAAAGCAAACAGAACTTGAGTAACGCATACGGTTATTTTTTATAGTTTTTCATTTCACGATGCGTCCTTAATGTGACGGAATATACCGCGTTTACCCAAACTCATCAAACAGGAATATGGCAGTTTTGGAAATGGCAAGAAAGCTCTAGTTGCAGCTCTAAAGGTAGATATATTCCATGCCTGCAACCCTACTGGTATGAGTGGTACAGTGGTGTCAGACTGTCAGTCCCAATTTATTCAATACCTATCAATTTCTTACTTAGTTATTTAATGGTTACCAAAACTGCAAAAACAAGTACTGTGAAGTACCATATGTTTATGTTGTTTGTTATTAGGCTAACTAATGAGCCTGTGACCAAGAGGCATGACTCGCATGAGCATGACTGTGAGTCTGTGAAAGAGTGTCTCAGTTTCTAAACTGTCTATGAGTGACTATGAGTCTATGACCATGACCAATTTGACCATCTTGATTATTGACGTACCTAACTGAAACGTAACTCCTCGGTCTCCTCCATTAATTAAATGTTTGACACTGACAGTTCAGAAAAGCATGCGAAAAGAATTTATTTATGACAGAAATAAAACTATCACACGCTAAAACCAAGCCGGCTTAAGTTTAAACGTCATTTTATAATTGTTATATAACAGCTTTGACCAGCAAGAAGCCCTTTGCTTCACTCATAGAAAGTAACCCAACAGGTTCACATACAGTCTTTAATGGACTTAAAGCTTAAACAAAGCTGTACAACACAACAACGAAGAAACCAAGCTCTGCACAGGAAAATAGACAAATTTCTTACCATTTTAAAATCGTCGCCGCACCTAATAACTTCGCTCTTCACTCCACGTATACCGAGATGCGTATGACACTCAATCCTCCCGCTCCATAGCCCGCTGGGCTACTCAGGACTTCCCAATTTTTTCATCCATGTTCTGATCGGACGGCCAAAATGTGCGTGTCTCAACTAATGAAATTTTGCTCAGTTCCGATAGGCAGTTATAAGTATAAACCATTATTAATAGAGTTTTCCGGAGTTATCAATAAAAAAAATAATAATTCCACGTGAACTTACGATGCAATTCAGTAGGTACATGCCAAATTCGGATATACGAAATACAGATCAATCGTTTCTGCTTTTCATGGGGAAGGCCTCTTGATGAATTTCAAATTGATGAATTGGTGAATTTCAAATGATATCCACGGCTTCTAATTTAACGAAGAGTGTGTTTATTTTATTTTATAGATGTTGCTTCGTTGCGTTGTTCCACATTGCGAATGTCCTAAATATTTTATATAATCGACGCACAATAATAAAATTTATAAGTCTGGAAATATTACAACGCTTGATGCATGCACCACAAAAGCGCAAAATGGCACTGCACAGCACAACACAATATAACACTGCCCAGCACGGTACAGCACTGCTCACTATCTCTAAATTGGCATCGAAGATTATGACCGATCTAGCCTTACTTTTATATTCATTTATTTAAAATTTTTCAATTTATTCAGAAGCGGTGCTGACTTGACACATTGACTTGACAGAGCTGACTTGAAACATTGACTTGACGGAGCTGACTTGACACATTGACTTGACACATTGACTTGACGGAGCTGACTTGACACATTGACTTGACGGAGCTGACTTGAAACATTGACTTGACAGAGCTGACTTGAAACATTGACTTGACGGAGCTGACTTGCCCCATTGACTTGACGGAGCTGACTTGACACATTGACCTGACGGAGCTGACTTGACACATAGACTTGACGGAGCTGACTTGACATACTGACTTGACGGAGCTGACTTGACGCAGTATGCTTAAACACATCGTAACTAAGCATACTACAGTGCATTACTAGGAATCTGTTATGTTTATAATTTGTAAATACATGGGTACAAGGTACGTGAGTACCATACGTGAGTACATGATATATTTTACCGCCTGCAGCGATCTTAAATTTTGCGCGAATATTACTTTTAATATAATAATACGGGAAGACATGATTCGTAGTTTCCAAAGTTTTGAGTGTATTTCGCAATGAAATTACAAGTGTCTGATGTGCTCCAGACTTCATCAGAGCAAAACCCGTATGTTTTTACTATTGTCATATTCCATTGATATATTTGATTAGTTCTTGTGGCATTTTTGTTTACCTATTCAATTTTATAATAATATAAAACTACATTTTTAACTGTTTATTTATTAGTTTTTACGTTATCAAAAATTTTATAATAAAAAAATTGTGAACTACATAAATTGAGAACAAATAAAAGTCACAGGCATTGCCGTCTTTGCAGAAATGGAAGATGAATCTAGTGATCAAAATGCATCAAAATTTAAATAAATTAACATACCGGTCCATATGTTATATTCTGCATTGACTTACAGACTTATTTGTATATACATACTGTACGTCATGTCGCCTTGCATTTGAGTAATAACACGATTTGAAGATTTTACATTTGTGTAAAGATTAAAAGTTTCAATGAATACGACCACGTGTTTCTTCTCTCACGCTAGATGAAGGACACCAAATAACTTTTGCAGTTGAGTGATACGCTTCAACTTGATAATTTTGATGTTTTGTGGTTGTTTCTAAAACTCTTGATTTCTACTGTACCAAAAATACAATAAAATAATTAAATTGCTGCAGCTGGTTCTCGATGCGAATTAATATTACCGAGGAAATATGCAAATTTGTACGTAAACTTTTTCTGAAAAAATTTTTTAATGGAAGCACATCGCATTCTCCTACATTACATAACATACTGACCATAAACAATACAAAGGATAAATCCGAAATCTGCAAAATGATACAAATTTCTGTGACTTACAATTTCTCTTCCATATCAGAACATTCATTGAATTCAAAATGCTGCATAATTTTATAGATCCAATCATCACAATTGACGAGTGTGCAGCGAACGCTGTCGAATAATTTTTCCTTAAGGGATCAGTAATTAACTTGATTGGACCACGTTCTCGGCCTCTGGAAAAAACCGGAGCGATAAAGCCTGTCATGATCTGTACAGAGATAAAATGTCTGCTCTAATTTGAACCAAAATATACTGTATCGGGGCCGAGTTCTCAGAAGTTAATATATACTGTATCTGGAGCGAGTTCACAAAAGTGAATATATACTGTATTGGGCCCAAGTTCGCAGAAGTTAATAACCGTACAGGGCCCGAGTTCGCTGAAGTTAATATATACTGTACAGGGCCCGAGTTCGCTGAAGTTAATATATACTGTACAGGGCCCGAGTTCGCTGAAGTTAATATATACTGTACTGGGCCCGAGTTCGCTGAAGTTTTTTCACTCAAACTGAACTGAATAATACGCTTCCTAAATCCCATGAATCCGGAATATGAGTATCTCAATTTAAGTTTATCAACATATAAGAAAACAGATTCAATCAAAAGGTGCAAAATAAGACTAAAATTTCGTTTACTTGACTCCATAAGATACCATTTAGCGCGTTCGCATATGACTGCCGATGTCCTGAAGCCTTCCGACCACGGTTGCCTTTTTCCGGCCAAATTAGCTAATTGAGGCCTCTTTCCAGTGGAGTTGGTCGGCCATAATATAAGTTGGGCTTACACAAAATGCAAGTGTCTGAGAATCAAAAATCCTTGAAATTAAACTGATAATAAATCAGATTATCAGATAAATTAAACTGATCAATTTTGAATTGTGGTTGACTGGTTGTAAACAGTAAAGCTCAGTAGTCGATTTGGCCGTTTTTCTTGCCACCATCTGGAATGAGCCTCTGTCCAGTGCGGGGGTTTCAAACGGTCTTTTTTTCGGACAAATACCGTAATTTAGTTTTTTATCGACTGCGTTGGCCGGCTAAAATTTATGATAGGGGTAATTCCTAATTAAATTGTATAAACTGCATATAATAGAATTTTTACACTGGAACATACAAATACATGTCTACTAGTATATATATGAAATAAAGGCCCTTTTGGCCTTTTTTGTTCGCGGACTTGGCCGTTTTTAAACCCATCTGGCAACCCTGGACTCCAGTGTTGCATAGGCCATCAATGTGGGATGTTGAACTGTGCCCTCATCCGGTTGAGTTCGTTCATCCTTTGTGGCAAGGATCTTTCCGAAAGCATGTGAAATAAACACGCAATATTTTTCTCTTACATTAGACGCCCCGCGAAATTCAAATGTAGTGAACATTTCCTTCGTGCTGAACTTCACATAAATAAAAGGTAACAGTTAATTTAGATATGTGCTTTTCGTTAATGCATCGATGTAACTTATGGTTGTTGTCACTTTAAATTGCGGTTGGTATTTCAATAAACTTTATTCGTCATCCTATATAGGTGTTCATCCAAAATTAGTCATGATAGTACCAAACGAATATACAAAAATAAATTATGGTAAGCATTAGTCTTGAAGGAAATTCGTAATATACATAACATTAATTTGCGTCATCGAAATTCAAATAAATTACGCGTAGAAAAAGCTTAAAATTTCACTACTGGTGAAATTAAGATAGAAAAGATTGAGGGCTTATATAGTAGCTTTATTTACAAGTGGGTTTAGTATAGTTATTCAAGAAATAAGTTTAGTAGATTTATTCATTAGTAGGATTAGTAGAGTTATTCACATGTAGGTTCAGTAAAATAATTCACAAGTAGCTTTAGTAGATTGATTCATTAGTAGGTTTAGTAGAAGTATTCACAAGTAGGTTAAGTAGAGTTTTTCACAAGTAGGTTTAGTAGATTTATTCACAAGTAGGTTTAGTAGATTTATTCACAAGTAGGTTCAGTAAAATTATTCACTAGTAGATTTAGTAGATTTATTCACTAGTAGGTTAGTAAATTTAATCACTAGTAGGTTTAGTAGATTTATTCACTAGTAGGTTCAGTAGATTTATTCACAAGTAGTTTTAGTAAATTCATTCTCGCATAACTCAACGCGTTACGCCATTGTTTTAACAATGACTTTCTCAAACAAAAGAAGCGCCGGTGAAGGCGGCAGCTCTTAAGTCCTTGCTAATGAGGTGTGCCGCGTCATGCAAATGACAGGTAACTGTTACGGGTATTAGCGCCATTACCACGCACGAGTCCGGGCCTTATGTAGCTCTTTATACGTGATATAATGGGGCTTAATATTATAAAAAATAATGAAAGTAATGTATTTTAATGCCGTACTGTAATGAGTCGCTAAACATGCCATATAATAAGTCATAATATTAGATATTGAACGTAATGTTATATAATCCCGTAATGTAATGAGCCGCAAGACCTGATACATAAGAAGTCACAATATTAGATATTGAACGTAATGTAATAAAATCCCGTAATGTAAGAGCCGCAAGACCTGCTACATAAAAGTCACAATATTAGATATTGAACGTAATGTAATAAAATCCCGTAATGTAATGAGCCGCAAGACCTGATACATAAGAAGTCACAATATTAGATATTGAACGTAATGTAATATAATCCCGTAAGGTTATGAGCTGTACGATAGGCAGAGATGAGGAAGTTCAACAGCATCTTTCCCAGGGAAACAAAAAGTTAGCGTGTAAAAGGGGAACAACTTGTACCCAAGTCTGAGTATATTGATTTTATGAACCCGATTCATCAGATTATTGTTAACATTGTTAAAGTAATTTTTCATTTATTTGACATCAAAGCTTCGAATAAATGACTCTCAGAATTGATTATTTATTACCTCAAAATAAACGTTAAGTGCAGCTTGAAATTTATATTTTTTCGTTCTCTTTACCGAGGCGAGTCATGTTGAATGTTCGTCCTCAACATTACACACGTTGAATGCCCAGGTTCAACACTACCCCTACCCGGCATGTCACGTTGAATGCCCAGGTTCAACACTACCCGGCAGGTCATGTTGAATGCCCAGGTTCAACACTACCCGGCTTGTCACGTTGAATGCCCAGGTTCAACACTACCCGGCATGTCACTTTGAATGCCCCGGTTCAACACTACCCGGCAGGTCATGTTGAATGCCCCGGTTCAACACGAAGCAGCAGGTCACGTTGAATGCCCAGAGTTACCCTGGAAGCAGAAACTCAACACGGCATCCAGAATATTTTCTCTAGACAATTTTTTACATGGCAAGTGTGCACTGGAAGTCGGTAACTAATGGAGAGATTATGCCCCTAACGGAGTGAGATAAGCTTTCTTCATGCTGATAAAGGGCCAGTTTATGCTAAACTTCAGCATTAGATACGACAAGATTTATTGCTTAGCAGGTGACTAACTCCAGAGGTCCTGCAAAGCTCTTTCACGATGAACATATTATATTAAATTGTAAGTAATAACTGTAAAAAATTGTATCGCTTCTAATCCATTTAAATTTACACTTTTGATCGCTCATTAACAATGTTATCGTGGAATTAATAGTTTGGTTTTAAAATGTATTTGCGTCACTTATCGTGATTTTTAATAAAGATTAAGGACTGATCCTGTTTTTAGCATTTGACACTTTCAAATCACAGCTAGAGCTTTACTAGAAGTCTTCTCGTGTAGGGTTCAAATCTTGGAAACCAGCAGAAAAACCTGCCTGAAAATTGATGATAATGTTTTTTAAAAACATCGATCATGCCTTGTTAACGATTTTACCTGCGATTTACATGCCATCACGGTAGCAATATCATCAGTAAAAATGAACAGTGTCAACGAAATTGCGAGCGACTGGTTGAGAAGCAGTTTAGGAAGAAATAACATTATGAGAACATGATCAAAACTGCAGTCAATGAAAGCCAGCAGCTACGACATTATGGATATGGGATTAGGTCGATTTATCACAGGATTTTAAGCGCATGGTAAGTTTCTCCTTTGAATCTACAGCGAGGAAAACGACGTCTTGAAGTGTATCCTTATCAAAGGAACTCTGGGTCAGGAATTGTACACGTTATCAAAGGGACTGCAGCTTTCACTGCGTCCATGTCCAGATGTGGCAGCGAATAAGTTGGGCCGCGCCCCAGGATAACGGAAGACACAATTTATTTTGCGGGCTATCAAACTTTATAAAAAATAAAATTTCTATTACTTTGTAATAAAAATTAAACTAGTAAAGATTGGTGGGATGCGGGCTATCAAACTTTATAAAAAAGTACATTTTTTATTACTATGTAAAAAATTAAACCAGTAAGCAATTGGTGTGATACAAATTAGAAAAATTTTATTGGGGTCATGAGGTTTTTTTTTTGGAGGTTACTTGAATTTAGATTGACCGTATCATTTTCGTTGTCTTAGCTGTTATTTGTATAGTTGGCCCCCCTCTGGAATATTAATATAATAACCTATAATATAACGGAATCTCTTGTAACTGAACAACACTTTGCTGAAATAAATCTAATTGAAGAAAATCTCCTTCCGCTAAAATGAAATTAAATAAATTGTTTTCTCTTGATAACTATCGTCTTCAATGATATTATTTTAGCATTAATTTGTTCAAATAAATTGTTTTCCCGAGATAACTATTGTCTTGGATGATATTACTTTAGCATTTGTAAAGTTTTACAAATATATAATGAAATGAATTCAAGGTAATATGGATGAAACGAGCACCTTTTACTGCATTGTAATTGTATTATGTTTTTTTTCTGGCCTCTGCTTTGCAATACAACTGCCGAGCCAGTTTATTTATATATTTCATTTGATCATGTAACATCACTTGCCAGTAAAATCATCTATTTTATAACATTACATTTATCCGTTCAATTTTCTTTTGTGCTAACACGGGATATTTTTATTAAGAGTCGTGATAATCGCCCAGGCATTCGCTCGCTTCCTCGAATTATAAATATTTATTTAACTTTAACGAGTATCGCGACTGGCAACAATTTACGTCTTTGTCGCAGTTTTTCAGTTTATCACAAGAAAAATACAATTGTTCAAATGAATTAAATTTGCAGTTTAAAGATGCAGCAAAAATTAATTTCTAAGTTTGCATTTTTTGTACAGTTTATCCATTAAAATTAGCTCAGAATTCTATATACGATTAGTAATTGATTATATAACTGTACTGATTATATCATTACATTGGTCGTACACTGTTAGAAAAAAACGATGAAAAAACGGTCCCACTGGCGTTCTAGTGGCCGGTCGCCCCGTGAAAATAAACTGTTTCGCCGTTTTTATCAGATGTTTTAATGATTTATAGTGTTAAATTAGAATAAAAAAGGCGACACAGTGTTTCTTTTCACGTGCCGATCGGCCACTGAAACGCCGGTTATACCGTTTACGGGAAATTTTCTAACAGTGTAGGATGCAACAGAAACCCTATAATTAAAAGTATTGTCTTCTCACGCCACCGTGGCATGATGCCATGCAGTGGCATTACGTCTCGGTGATAATACAAAACTTTCAGCAAGTTCACTTTCTTGGTGCTGATATTTGTTTACTTTGAATGAAGGTAACAGGACGCGAATGAATAAAGTAACTCACATTCATTTAATGACATGAGTTAAGCATGGCGTCGGTAATAAAGTAACTTACTTCCATTTAGTGGAAAACCAACAGGTCTTTAAAATCATTCTCAAGAGAAAACGTTCAGCTAAGCTATATCTATATATTAACATAGCAAAAGTTGAAACGTCAAACGTTACTGATTATTAGTCGTTATCTTCTAATCAACAGTTAAAGTTGAATCCTATAGGGCCCAATAGCCCCTGCCATATACGCTCCACAAACTATTCGTTAACTGTTCGTTATAGGTCACAAACTAAAACTTAGACGACATAGTTCACTAACGCGAGCGGATAAAAAATGTGACCAGTTTTATCATAAAATAATATATTCCATGGACGTTTCTGAGCTGCAATCATCGAATATGTCTTCCACTCTTGATTAATCATAATCTTAATAAAAGTAAGTCTTGATTCATAGTTCCTTTAGTTCACCATAAGTCTAATTTCAACTCGAAGAATCCCATGAGTCAACTCATGCAATTTCTAACCCGAGTTCCACACATTCGTTGTATCTCCAGGAGGTCAAGTTCGTCTATAGTTCGCCCAGCCCAATTTATAAATGTTCTAATGACTGAGAGGAACGTCTGATGGCAGCGCGGCTGACAGAGACTAAATGACTTACATCTGATACCATCCATACGCCCTCGACCCCCGCGCCTAAACTCGTACCCAAAACCCCGTACCCCTAGATTACGGAGGTTGTTCTCGGTCACTTCCACACGTTCTCCGTACCCCAAACCCTGTACCCCTAGATTACGGAGG